ATCTCTGCATCCTCAGGGGTGGGAAGACGCCATCTTAGATGCCTTTTTTTTAGGACTTGAAAACACTGGACATTGCTTCAGGTGAGGTAAACAGCAATTTTTGGCCTCAATAGCTCTTTGTTTTTCCTTGGTTTATTAAATAAATCCCCATTATTATTATTTTCTGAAACCGAAAATCAATATATGTAATACACTATATTAATATATGTGCATATATATACATATGTAGAACAAGTGTAGAACTCAGACAGTGACTGGTAAACTATTTGGTCAGTGTCCTTGGACAGTTTTAGTGCCCTTTGCTGCTTTGTAACACTGCTAACAGTGTAATAAAAGTTCATCTCTCACTGTACCTCTATAGGACTTCTTGTTATTTTCTATAAATATGTGCCATTGTCTATGGTGTGAAATGATAATCCTATCAAGGTTTTGAACTGCATCACCCTTATTAAAAGAACAAATGAACATTTTTCCATATACCTGTTGATCATCTGGATATCCTCTTTCATGAATTGTCTGTTCAAATCTGCTGCCAATTTAGCAATTGGATTGTTTGTGTATTTTTTTGTCAAATTGAATGAACTTTTTTGTGTATCTTGGCTGCTAACTGTATTGATTTTGCAAAGTATGAATATTTTCTCCCTTTCAGCAATATTTATTAATGTATATTTTCTTTCCCTGTGCAAAGGTTTTTATTTATTCATCACATTATGTTTATTGAATCAGAGTAATTTTACATGCTATCTGCTTTGGGAATGATAGGTTTAAACTACAAATGCCCAGTTTTCCCTACGCCAATAACTGGAAAGAATTTCCTTGTGTCAGTGTATATTCTTTGCCTCTTTATCATAGATTAGTTGACCATATATGTGTGGTTTTGTTACTGGGTTTTCAATTTTATTTCATTGATCATCGTGTCTGTTTTATTTTTTTTCCAATATCATCCTGATTTTATTATAATGGCTTTGTAGTATTGTGTGAAGTCTGGGGAGACTCCATTCTTCCCCCTTTAAGTTTGTTTTGTTTTGTTTTAACCTGAGTGTGCTATTTATTTCTTTGCTTTTCTATTCTATTTTATTTTTCTTATATATTTTTACATAATTTTCATTTTCATACAATGTATGCATTTTCATCTTGGTTATGGTCTCTGTGAAATTCCCACCACCTATTCACCTGTGAACTATCCACAGGGTCCTTTATGTTCTTCCCACCATTGTTTTGGAGAAATGTCTTTTAAGTTCTTCTGCCCATTTCTTGACTGAATTGTTTACTTTGTTTTTGTTGGTCATGTGAGTTCTTTGTATATCTTTGTGATCAGTCCCTTATAAGTTCTATGGAGTGCTAAGATATTTCCCCAGTCAGTAGGGTGTCTCTTTGTTTTGGTTAATGTCTCTTTGCTATACAGAAGTTTTCAGTTTGATGTAATCCCATTTGTTTATCTTTTCCTTCACTTTCTTTACTTTGGTTGATGAGTCATTAAAGATGTGGTACATATACACCATGGAATATTACTCAGCATTCAAAAAGATAAACACATGCAATTTGCAGCAACATGGAAGGAGCTGGAAGGGATCATGCTCAGCGAAATAAGCCAGAAAGAAAAAGAAAAATATCGGATGATCTCACTCATAGCAGGAATCTAGAAAACTTAAATAAGGGACCAGGAAAAAGAATAACTATAAAAAAGTAAAAATCAAAATCAACAAACAACTATGAACCAGAGACACTCTATTGGGGGGTGGGGGGGCAGGGAGGGGAGGGATTGGGTCAAAATAAGGGGTCGCAATTGTATGGGGAATATAAAAATTTAAAAAAATTATATAAAAAAATAAAATAAAACATTACTCTGTCCTTAGGCAAATAAAATAGCAAAAAAAAAAAATGTTACTGAGATGTATGTCTTGTAGTGTTTTACCTGTATTTTCTTCTATATATTTTATGGTTTTAGGTCTTATGTCCAGATCTTTTATCCATTTTGGGTTGATTTTTGTGTATAGTGAGAGTTAGTCATCTAGTTTCATTCTTTTGAATGAACCACCACAGGTTTTTGTCCAACAAAAACATAAAAAGGAATTTACAGATAAGTAGAGAGAAACAAACTTTGTTTAAGAAAGTAAAGTTTACTTAAAGGAAAAAAGTAAAGACTCTTGGTATGCTATATGTTGTAGGGGCAAGGAAGTCATTGTGCACCAAGGTCTAGGGGTACTTAAACCCTTTTGTCCCTATTCTAAAATCTCATCATCCAGGCCTCCCTGGTGGCGCAAGGGGTTAAGCATCACACTATAGAGCAATCCCCACCCTCTGCAGGATGAGTTCAATCCCCAGGTGGCCAGGGAGAAACCCACATGGCGCAGCAGACCTCTCCTGTCTCACCCACTGCTCTCCTCAGCCGTGTATTTCAGTCAGTCTGCCTGTTCTGTTCCCCACTCTGTCTCTGGTGAATCCTTTCACCTCCCACACCTCTGGCCTTTACCTAGCTCTTGTATGCATGAATAAATAAAATCTTTAAAAATAAATAAATAAAATAAAATAAAATCTCATCATCCAACTATGTGATTGGCTCTTTCTCCCACTGGCTATACTCTTCCAGGCAGATGTGCCCATTTTCCCAGCTCTTATCTTAGAGTTTAACTCCCCTGTCCACAGTCTTATTTTCTCAAGTTTTATTGTCTGTTTTTAGTGTTCCTGGACTTTCTGACCTCATCTCTGGAGTAATCCTTGGTTAGCACACTTAGAATTTACTATCCTTATCTCAGAAGCTTCTTTAACTCTCCTGAAGTCCCTTCCTGCACTGTCTTTGAAGCTATCTAATTAACCCTAACTTTCCCTGGTTCTCAGTAGCCTGCGACTTTCCTGAAATGATTAGTTTTTATTAGTTTTCCATGGATTTTATAGGATTCTCCTTACATATCATTGCATCATCTGCTAATAATGATAGTTTTATTTCTTTCCCTATTTGAATTACTTTTATATTTTTCTCTTCCTTAATTGCCCTATAATAGCTAGGACTTCCAATATTATATTGAAAAGTAGTGGTAAGAGTGTACATCCTTGTCTTGCTCCAGATCTTAATGGAAAGGTTTTCAGTTTTCACAATTAACAATGATGTTTGCTGTGTGTTTGTCTTATATGACTTTTATTATGTTAAGATATGTCCCTTTCACCCCAAGTTTTTCATTCTTTTTTCATATGGGTGGGCAGTTTTCCCAACACCATTGTTTGAAAAGATCTTTCTTTCTCCAGTATATACTCTTGGCTCCTATGTGATAGATTAATTGACCATACATGTATGGTTTTACTTCTGGGCTCTCAGTTCTGTTGTATTCCACTGGTCTGCATGTCTGTTTTTGTTCTAGGACTGTATTGTTTCAATTGTTATAGCTTTGTATTATAATTTGAGGTCTTCGAATGTAATATGAACACTCTGATTTTTCTCAGCATTGCTCTGGTTATTTGAGGTTTTGTGTATTTCCATACAAATTTCGGTATTGTTTGTTCTATTTCCTTTTGTGAGTGTGTGTGTATATTTTCTTCTGTTTTAATTTTGTGCCATTTCTTGTAGATTTATGTATTTTTTAAAGATTTGTTTATTTATGTGCATATGAACTGGGGTACAGGCCAGAGGTATGGGGAGTGAGAGGATTCACCAGAGACAGAGTGGGGAACAGAACAGACAGACCAACTGAAATACACTGCTGGGGGGAGCAGCGGGCGAGTCAGGAGAGGTCTGCTGCACCATATGGGTTGCTCCCAGGCGGTTGGGGATCCAACTCTTGCTGCAGAGGATGCAGATAGCTTCATAGGTTGTGTCTTAATCCCTTGGCCACTAGGGAGGCCAGATTTATGTATTTTTTATATTTATTTTCTGTACATATTTTACATTATTGTTCATTTTTGTGCAATGTTTTATTTCTTCTCCTAGGTGGATGGCTTTACTTGTAGGAGGAATACAGAGGAGCCAAATAAGGGATCAGGGAAAAAATGAGAGAAAACTAGCAGGCAACTATAAATCGGAGATCTGTGTATTCTTTAACTCTCTATAGAATCTACTTCAGGCATGACAGAGAAAATGACTTAGAAATGAAGTGCATGTATTTTTTTTTTCTTTTAGACTTATGTATTTTTATTTCTTTAATAGATTAAAACTTTTATTTTACAATGGATAAGTAACATGTGCATTTTGTACACATAAATAATTTTTATGAAGATAATTATTTAATTTTGCTTATTCTCCCTGAGCAGTATCTTCCTGCCTCCTAGGGCAATGGTCTGAATGAAATTACAAATTTAATGATGTGCAATTTTTTGGAGCAAATTAATTATTTTTCATGGGTTTTTTTGTCTTCCAAAGTGTCCAAGGCTTTCCTGGAGGGAAATAACATCCCTCCCCCAGCTCAGGCAGCTCTTGAGGGCCCAAAGTCGCTGGCATTGCCTCTCTTCTACCAACTCAAAGTCAATTCTGTTGTGGACCTTTGTTACTCAAGTCTATTGGACACTACTTTACCTGGGATGGGATCCTGTGACTTGCATCTTACTATCTATAAATTCACTCAGGATCTTGTGGAAAAGGGTGGACTATGGTAGCTGGTTCCTCTTCTCTCAGACCCACAGGAAGCAAGGTTGGTAGAAAAGGACAATTCCTTCTTTCAAGGGCTCCTTTCCTTCCAGAATGCATAAGGTGATATCTTATTCCATCATATTCTCATTCTTGGTTGTCTCACTCATAGATGCAGTTATGACTGTGTTGGAGACATGGTGAACCTGTCCAACTCTAGGGAGATAACAGTGCTTATCTCAAGAATAAAGGAAGTGTAAAGAAAGATTGGGGAGAAGGGGACATAATTTGTGGAGAAATGAAAAAAAAAAAGGCAGAGTGAAAAAAGGACTTGCCCCCCATTATTTTGACCCCAATCTCTTCCTCCCCCCCCCCCACATAGTGTGTCTCAGAATTCTTTTTGAAATAAAATACTAGCAAGTAATTAGACACGTACTTAATGGAGTATACGCTTTTTAATTCTGAGATGTCTTGGGGAATGCTAGGGTTGGGGGTCCAACTTTTTCTGGGTTTTAGGTTAAGAGCTTGGCAAGGCCTGAAAAATCAAAGCAAGGCTTTCAGCAGAAAAACACCAATCAGGATTGATGAGGTGATAGATGTCAGTGGGGGGCTCCCACTGCTTAGGCCTGCACACAAAGTACTGAATACTGTGCCATCCTGTATTTTAAAATTCTTCAAGTTGCAGGCAGTTTCAGTCGCACAACCCATTATATTTGGCAATCCAGAATGAGCTGTGAAGAGAAAGATGCAGGAGTTAGTCTTCCTTATCATCTTTTCTCACCTTTCTACCTATATCTTATACTATCTGACTCCTTGGGGAAGGAAAGACTATTCAGAGTGCCCCAGAATCCCTGACTGTCTTCTGCAAGAAAATCATCACCTGAAACTCCAACTTTTTCATGATTCCCAATGGTCCTAACTTCTCCCCAGTTTAGGAGGGAACCCAAATACCGCTGACATTTCAGATGCATGACTAAGACTAAAATGGGAAGAGAGAGAGAGAAGAAAGCTGGAGGTCAGAACTCATGTGTTCAGCTTAAGTTTCCTCATTTTAACTGCTCTTTTCCTTTCTTGTATATCCAAAGGGCATGTATATTATAAAAAGGAAAGGATTCGTACACAGACACATGATAGCAGAAAGAGCAGCCCCTGAAAGGGGGCAGTCTTGGGATTAGAGCTCCACTCCTGTTTTCCAAAGAAAAAAGTTTGATGAAAAGAAACTCTTGTATAATCACTGGTGGCAGGATCTGCCTCTTCCTTATCTCTCTTCCTTGGGAAAACCATAGGAAAGCAATGCAGATACCCCTCAAGGTCAAATCTTTTCTCCTGGAGTTGAGTTTCTTGGGAGATTAGCACAATTTACTCTTATTTACATCTGTGCTTGCCATGGAAAGTTGGAGTAGAGACACTGTTCCATTCTGGACAGCCCTCACCCTCACTTCATCCCGATCTCCTTAATCATCTCCACCTCAACTAAGCATCAAAATGTTCTCAAAAAAAAAGAAAAGAAAAGAAAAATGATAACTTGCTTTTAACCCTACCAAACTCTCCAATCATTTAATCAGCTCCAAAGGTACCACTAAGTTCATGAAATCTTTTACCAGTGGCTGAGAACAGAACTGATGATGTCTTTTCTGGCTGTACAGTCCAATACTATGGTTATTTTTCCAATTCTTATATTCATGGTAGATATTCTTTCATCATAAATACATATTATTTCTCCAAATCAGGAAACTCACAAATTCTACAAATTTCAAAGTTACACCATGCTAAAATTAAGTGTTTGATGATGGGATTTGGGTGATAGCAATAATGGTAGTGACAATAAGAATCAAAGCCGAGATGTCATCCTTCATGCTGTTAATGAACCAAGGTCTTATTCCAGGAGATCATGTTATGACATGCTCCCAAGTCTCAGATTCTCTTAGGAAGGAAGCAGTTGTGCTGTCCTCTCTCCTTTACTTGCTTTTTGTCTCCTTTCTTCATTGATAGATGGCTCCCTCCAATTATTGGAGGGATAGCTTGCTCTTCACACTGTACCATACCTTGCTATTCATAGTAGTCAGTCTCTGGGGGGGCCCAGTGGTTCCTATCCTCATGATATCCATGCTTTTGTGTAGCCCCCTCCCATGTTGCATTTGGATTGTGTAACCAACAAGATTCAGCAGAAGTGATAATGTGTTACTTATGAGATTAGATTATTGAAAACTGCATTTTTTTTTTCCTTTCTCCTACCTCCTCCCCTACCATCATCACTCTCTTTGGGAGGAGCCAACTTATTTCTCATGAGAACATTAGGCATTCCACGGAGAGGCACACATGGGGGGGGAAACAAAGTACACAATAACATGAGTGATTTGAAAACAAACAATCGCAACCCCTGCTAACAGCTGCATTGAAATTTATGAGACTGAGCCAGGACCACCCGGTTAAGCCATTCCCAGATTCCTGAACCACAGATACTATGAAATAATAAGTGTTTGTTGCATTAAGCTGCCAAGTTTTACAGTAACTTTTTATAAAGCAATAGCTACTAATATGCCTAAACCTTTAAGAAGATAAACACTAAAGAGCCTGGGGGGAAAAACCTTACCTGAATCAAAAATTGTGATACACTTTGTCTCTGCCCCAGTGCAAGCGAGGGGAACTTGGTCACAGTAAAATTGATTATTCCGTCTTTCGCAGGAAGGACATGTAATGCCATTGGGGACTGAGGACTTCTGAGGCACTGCATGTGCACAGAAATATGTCGTATTAAAGAATAATGTTAAGGAGGAGCCGCAAACATTTCAAACAATTCCAAGATCATTGTTATTCCAGGATTCTTCTCAAATTCAATATCATTGAAATAGGATGGCCCAGAGGGTGGAGAAGAAGTTCAGAGTAAGTGAGAAGGTATGAGCAGAAGGATCTTCTAGGAGTTTGGTGTTTTCTGCCCTCTTCATGAATTTTTCCTTTCTGCTCTGGCTAAAAAGTAGATCTTAGATAATGAATAAATAATCTGTGTTCTACAACAATATTGTTAAGGGAGTGAATATAAATAGATGAGGAAATAATACCAAAATCAAGCAAAACACACAAAAGAAAACTACAGGCCAATTTCCTTAATGGACACAGATGTAAAAATCCTCAATAAAATCTTAACAAATCAAATCCTACAATGCATCAAAAAGATAATACACCATGACTAAGTTGGCTTTATCCTGGGGATACAAAGATGGTTCAACATCTGAAAATCAATTCATATAATCCAACACATCAACAAAAATAACCATATGATCCTATCAATAATTGCCATGAAATCATTTGATAAATTTCAACATTCATTTATGATGAAAGCCCATGAAATACTTGGGATAAGAGGAATGTGCCTTAACAACAAAAGTCACATATGACAAACCCGCAGCTAACATTATTCTTAATGTTGAAAAACTGAAAGCTTTTCCTTTGGGATCTGGCGCAAGACAAGGATATCCACTCTCATTGCTGCTTTTCAAAGAATATTACTGGAAGTTCTAGCTAGAGCAATTAGGCAAGAGAAAGATGTAAAAGGAATCCGAATAGCAAAGGAAGTAAAGCTATCATTATTTGCAGATGATAACATAATATATAAGTCAAACCCAAAAATTCCACAGAAATACTAATTAAAACAATGAAGCAGTTCAGTAAAATACAGGTTGCAAAATCAACACTAAAAAATCAGTAGTCCTCCTATATGAACACATTCAGTCTCAAGAGAAAGAAATTAAGAAAATCATCCCATTTACAATTGTACTAAAAAATAAAATTAAATACCTGGGAATAAACCTACCAATGGAGGTGAAAGACCAATACAAAGGAAATCACATTGTTTAAAAAGAAATAAAAGAAGACAAAGAAATGGAAAGACATTCAGGAGAATAAACATTATCAAAATGGCCATCCTAACAAAAGCAATTTTTTACAGATTCAGTGCAATTCCAATAAAAATATTATTGGAAGTTTTCAAAGAAATAGAACAAATATTGCTGAAATTCATATGGAATCACAATAAACCTCAAATAGCCAAAGTTCTCCTAACTAAAAAGAAGGAGAATGGAGGTTTCCTCTACTTCAAACTATACCACAGAGCCATAATAATGAAAACAGTTTGATATTGGAGCAAAAACAGACACACTGACCAACAGAATCAAATTGAAAACCCAGAAATAATACCACACATATATGGACAACTAATCAATGACAGAGGAACAAAGAATGTACACTGGAAAAAGACAGTATATTCAATAAATGATATTGGAAAAACTGGACTGCCATATGCAAAAGAATGAAACTAGACACTATACACAATACCAACCCAAAATGGATAAATGATTTGAATGTAAGACCTGATATTATAAAATATATAGAAGAAAATATAGGTAAAACAGCCCATGAAATACACTTCAGAAACATCTTTGAGGATTGAACTCCAGAAACAAAGAAAATTAAAGATAAACAGCTGGGACTACATCAAACTAAAAACTTTTGTACAGCAAAAGAGATAGTAACCCAAATAAAGAGAAACCCCACTGAATGGGAGAAAATATTTGCAAAACATACAAAACTGATGAGACAGACATCAAAGATCCATAAAGACCTCATACAACTCAACAAAGCAAACAACCCAAATAAAAAATGGGCAGAAGAGCTAATATGACACTTTTCAAAAGAAGAAATGCAAATGGCCAAAAAATAAATGAAAAAATGTTCAACATCACTTGTAATCAGGGAAATGCAAATCAAAATCACAATGAGATACCAACTCACACCTGTGAGAATGGCCCATAGTTTAAAAGCTGGCTGCAACAGATGCTGGCAAGGATGTGGGAAAAAAGGAATCCTCTTACACTGCTGGTGGGAATTTAAACACAGTTCAGCCACTATGGAAAACCTTGAGGAGGATCCGCAAAACACTCAAAATAGATCTATTATTTGATTCAGTGATTCCACTCCTGGGATTCTACCCAAAAGACACAAAATCACTAATTTCGCACTACTATGTCTATGGCAGCACTATTTACTATAGCCAATATATGGAAACAAGCTAAATGCCTTAAAACAGATGACTAAATGAAGATGTGGTTTATACACACAATGGAATACTATTCAGTGATCAAAAAAGATAAACTCATGCCATTTGTGGCAACATGGATGGAACTGGAAGGGATTGTGCTAAACAAAATAAGTCAGAAGGAAAAAGAAAAATATGAGATGGTCTCACTTATAAGAGGAACATAGAGAAACCAAATAAAGGATCAAGGAAGACAAGACATGCAGGCAAATCATAGATCTGAGGCGAAGGGCAGAGAAGGGGTCAGGAGAGGTGTCAAAATAGGGGAGGGAAGTGCACAAGGGACGATGGTTCATGGGTGCTGTGGTAGTGGGAGAATTATGGAGACAGCACCTGAGAGGAGAAATGAAATATAATACAAAAATGAATAATGATGTAAAAAAATAAATTAAAAGTAATAAATAAATAGTGAGGAGAGACAATTCCTCAGCTGGAATGAGAAAGAAAATAATTTAAACCTACAGGCTCACACTTAAAGAAAGTTCCCAGAACCAATCAATCCCAGCCACCCATTCCTCTGTGTAGGAGAATGGCTTATATCCATCCCTTCTGTGGGAGTAAGACAATCAGCTAACAAAAGCAAAAGCAAAGTAACAGGCCATAGGAAGAAAATTGGAAGGCAGAGATTTAATACAATGGATTGGGAACAGGAGTGGGAATGAAAGGAAAGTGGAGATGAGACACTCACGTTTTATGTCCTCTTGGTTACACCGGTCAGTTTGGCAGCATTTGCTTGCAAACCCCAATGATCCATTACTCACTGATATCCGAAAGGCAAATGGAACACAAATGCTTGAAGAACAGCCTTTCAAATCATAATGTTGTGACTGATGCCCTGCAAGAAGCAAACACCAGAGGAAATTTCCTCTCTTAACAAGAGAGAAAAGAGAGAGGGAGGGAGGGAGGGAGGGAGAGAGAGAGACCGACCCAGCTGGAAAGGCCATATTGTATTAAAGGTTTCTGTACCTCAAAACCCTTTGTCTTTAATCTTTCCACTTTTTAAAAATAAAGCACATCTGCATTGGTCCATGTAGTGAACCAAAGGAAGGATGACTCTTTAGCATATTTGTTGAAAGGGAGCGTCATCCTTTTAACAAGATTATTGTGGAACTAGACTCAGGTCTTTGTCCTGGGGAGTCTGCCTTCATGCCACCTTCCACCATACTATACTCTCCGTCCACCCAGGTAAGATGGAACACAACAAACAAGGTTAAATCAAAGATGCACTGGGATGTGAGGAACTCTATCCAGTTACAAACACTGTAACCACCCTCACTCTAAACATCTCCATCTGTCCTGTGTGCCTAGCACAGTGGGCAGGGAATTAACACAGCATACCTTGTGCCATTACTTCCTGTCTGAAGCTGAAGCAGCCTTGAGAAGTTTCACAAGTTTTCAGCGCACCAGGACTACAGTCTTTTTCACAGAGTGCACATGTATAAGTCTCTATGAAATGAAATAGAAGTAATTTGGGAATGAATATGAACAATTGTCATAGCTGTTGTTTCAAATGGTCAAAGATTCCTGAAATTCAGATGCCATGAAATCCACTCCCTAAGGGCACCACTTCAGGCCCCACTCACACCTGAGTACCCAACAACCCACCACCAAGAACAGGCTTACCCCCCCTCAACCATCCTTGGCTGGTTGGCAAATGAAGATCTCCAATTGTAGAACTCATCATTGCTCTTAGAGCAGGATTTGGCCTCTCCTAAATGGGCATTCTTCTTTATTGTTTATCTTACCCTTACAGTCTTTAAGGGAAAGTGGTCCTTACCCACAGTGCTGAAAATCAAGGTGGTGAGAGTATAGGTGGTTATGAGGTTCTTCAGGGCCGAGTATGAAGTCATGGTTTCACTGTAGAAGGTTCAAGTGAGAACACAATTGTCAGAATAATGTGGCCCAGGTCTCTTGTCTAAAAACCCAAGTGTTGGATAGGGTTCTGTCCCTGTTCATTGATATGACAAATGAACATTTGTCAATCCCCAATTATTCTTGGGGATTAAGAGAGACCAGGGAAGACCTCCCTTCCTCTGGAAGAGGTCTCATTGGGGATTTCCTTCTTGCATGGGTGTGGAAGATGTTGGACACCCCTTCAAATCAGCAATAGGCTGATTTGGTCAAGATGTAGAATTCACTCTTTAGGAAACAGAGAAAAGCTCTCCATTTATTAGAAAGGTCTAAGACAAATAACCTCTTAATGAAGAGGCTGATTTCTCAATTCTGAAATGATCAAGTAATTAAAACATTATAGTTCAGTATAATATTGACACAAGGCCTAATACAGTTAATTGCACTTGTCTTCCGAAAAGGTATTGTGAGAACACTCATTTCTAACATTCAGATATTCTGACATGAAATTCTCTAGGGAAGTTGACAATTAGGAATTTAGCAAATGAGACTAAGGACATTGTGAAGAGAACATGTGGCTTATTCAGAACCTGCCAGGCATGGGTGTCTTCACCAACTGTTTTAACACTGAGTCGGACTGGTTTTTCATCCAACACCCGCCTCCATCATGGACAAATAAAGGCAAGTGCAGTTATTTGGGAGACATGGCCCACTCATCTGATGATACCATCTAAATCTGCTGAGAATAAATCCTTTCTAGAATTTAGTGCCAGGGTAAGGAGTAGGGAGGGAAACTTTCTCTTTCAAAGAAACAGCATGCTTCTGCTTTCAAAGAAACAGCATGCTTTCTGCAAAAGAAATCTTTTCTCCTTAAGGAAGGAGGAGAACCATGAGGAAGTTCATGGTTGTGTTTTGTGTTTAAACATAATTTCCTTCAATTTTTTCCCTTTTCTTCATGCATGTTTGTATGTTTATCATTTTTGTAAGGCAGCAGAGATGTAAAGAACAATTCCAGTTGTCAAAAAACATGACTCAACGGAGAGTGGCCATGGGAGGGAGCCCTGCAGGGTCTGCCTTGAGATCACTCCTAGGCTGAGTATGAATCCTGCTCTGCTGCCCCCTGCTGTGTGGGCCCTGGGGAGCACTTTGCAACACCTCTAGGATCCCATCTCATGATCTTCCCTGGTCAATGGCTCACTGAGATCTGCAGGAATTAAAGGACACAGTGTATAAAAGCCTGGCACAGCAGACACCATTGCCCAGATGCCCTTTAGTGCTGCTTCTCAAACTCAACTCTCCTCTTTCTCTGTGCTCCATCCTTCCCTTTCTCCTGCTGTCCCTAGAGGGAGACCCCAGGGAAGCTCTTACCTTTCTCCAGAAGGGGAATCGCTCTGTACTTCTTCTTTTCTTCTTTTTTTTTAATCAATATTGGTTCTTTTTTTTTTTTGTATCTATTTTTTTTTTAAAGATTTATTTATATATTATTTATACAAGCACTGGGAACAGTCAGAAGCGCGGGAGGGTGAGAGAATTCACCAGAACCAGAGCGGGGAGCTGCTGAGGGGAGCAGCGGGCAGCAGGAGAGGTCTGCGCACCATGTGGGACCTCCTCCGGTGGCCTGGGAGCAGCCGAGGATCAAACCGGCGCTACAGAGCCTGAGGGCAGCTTTGCAACCTGCTCAACCGCTGCACCACCGGAGAGGCCCTTTTTTTGGGGGGGGGGCCTGTATTCACCCCAATCTATTGATAGGGCATAAACTTTACATTTGAAATGGAACAAAATGACTAAAACATAGGCATACTATTTTAATAAGCCTCTCATCAGGCATTAGGTTTTGATCTTGATCACAGATTCTGAAAGAGCAGGCATATTATGGGGGTCTACAGTGGATAAGGAGTATGCTTGTGAGGGCCTCATCTAAACTGAGTGCTGAAGGAGAAGGATCTATGTCTACAGGTGAGCAACAGCATGTCTTCCCAGGCTCCTCAGAGGCCAGGGTAGAGACAAGGGCAGGGCAGGGCAGGGTGCCAGGCCTAGGCGCAGAGGTCAGCAGGAACTCTGTTAGAGTCCCTGCAGATATGAGAAGTGAGAACACATTCCCCTTGTTTAAAAAAATATCAACAAAGAATTTCAGGGGACCCAGAACTGAGAGCTCAGACAAGGCCTGAGGGTCCGGATGGAAGCTTCCATTCCAGTGTGACTGCTGGCTAAAGAGACTTCAGTCCTTACACAAGGTCACAGCAGGATTTGCTAGACAGACAGACCCTGTCGTCCTTTCTAACATTTAGGAAGGAATTAATTTCAGCCTTTCTTTATGGAATTCCATGAACTCCAAGCCTCACTCATCTTTAGACTCACACTTCCAGGGGTCTGAGGAAAAGTCTGCAACATCACCAAGGTGTGGCAAAGACCCCCATCTTTCCCTTCCTGAGGATGAGTTTTCAGGAAATGATAGTACCTATCCAAGAATCACCTTCAATCTTGTTCCAGGTTTCTAGCTCCGTGGCTGAGGCCATGTGAGCCTGGGGATGCAATTTCACTTCTCAGAGCTTCGATTTCCTGATCTGAGGAGGGCACAGGGAATCTGCTTCACAGTGTGGACATTTCACCCCTGTCCACATCAGCAACATGGGATGAGTACAAGGCAGCTGTTTGCATTTGGCAAAAGTGGGACTTAGGCTGTCAGCCCGTGGTAAGGCTGTGTACATTTGACTCATGGTCATGCACGTCTGGATTCTAGATAGTAAAATGAGTGCAGCTTGCTTTCCTCTATCATTTCAACTGAGGAGACATCAAGCAGATGAACTGATACCCAGGAACTTCCAGAGGCATTGATTCCAGGGCTACATGTGTTAGGGGGAAAAGATGTCCTGAGCAAACTCCATACAGGTTTTGCAGACTCTACCCTCACTCCATTAAGACACTGGGAACTACAAATCCCATGATCACCAAAGGGAGGGTTGCCAAGACCTGAGGTTGGAGTTAAGCAGCCATGTTTTTTCTGTTTGGAGATTCAACCAGCCATGTGAGCGAGGGTGGCCTCTTGGCCATATGGCACTAAGCTTTTCGCCAGCTTAGTGGGTCATTGGAATTCCAGATCAGAGGAACAGGTAGGACACATTTACAAATTTATCTCCCACTTTTTCTCCTTGAGTTATTCATATCCTCATTTCTCCTTCCCTTGTAAATAAATCTTTTATTAACCTTTTGTGTGTGCCTGCAATTTAGCATTAATAAGTCCCCTTTAAGGGTATGGGTGCGGACTCACAGTAAGGCAACCTGTTTCACATTGAGGTTGCCCTGTAACAGATTTAATATAGGTTCTGCTCACACTGGCTTTGCAAGAAGGATTTTCATCTTTTCCCCACCATCTTATAACTGAAATTGATCCACAAACAACAGAAAAATCACCCACCCTTGGAAATCAATGAGGTTTTGTTTTTTCCTATCATATGACATCTGCAGACAATATTCTTTGCCCACCCCCCTTGTCAACTGCTTCCAAATCTGACCCTATCAGTCCCCCTGCTGGAGCTTGATATCCTATACATTCATTTAAAAGTGCATCTACTACTATTCCACACATTCAAAGAGCTTTATAGCTGGGTTTCATTATCATTATAATCCTATGTTGTTTACTCCTTTCAGGAGAAGGGATCCGTAGACTCCATCACATTGCACACATTGCATGGGTCCCCTGCACAGAGAGGATGGTCACCACAGTTGTGGACAGAGCACTCCATCTTGCTCCCAATGCAGAACTCTGCTCCATGCTCTTAAATGAGACTCATCCCCAGGCTATACATTCTCAGGTCTCCTAACTCTTCAGTTTATTGCTCATTTCCCTTTCTCCTAGTACACTGTGCCCAGTTTTGTCCTTTTTATCCAGATTGCATCGGATATTCACAGTCTTTTGTGGTTCCATACAAATCTTGCTATTGTTTTTGCTCTATCTGTGGAAAATGTCCTTGAAATTCTCATAGGGATTGCATTGAGTCTATATATGACTTAGTTAGTGTGGATATTTTAACAACGATCCCTATTAAAATTCAAGGCATCACTCTTCCTCACTTCAGTCTATGATGCATAGCTTTACTAACCAAAACGATGTGCTCCTGGCATTAAAAACAAATGTACAGACCAATGAAGAGAGTCAAAAGTCCAGAAATAAAGCCAATTATAATGACTAATATTTGCTAAGGAGACAAAAACATCCAATGGGGAAACAATAGTCTCTGTAACAAATCATTTGATTGGAAAGTATTATCCTCTCATCTCTCAATGCTGTGTATACTAAATCTACTAAAGTTCATTTTATTGAAGGTCTTGTGTAAAACAAAAATACATCAAACAAATGGTTTGGGAAACTGAATGTCCACATAAAAAAGTTAAAATGATCCCTATATTCATCATTAACAAAATAATGAACTCAAAATGTATTAAAGACTTAAATATAAAACCTGAAACTGTAATATTCCTTGGTAAATGTAACATGGAAAAATTCCTTGATATCAATCTTGACAATGATTTTTTAAGCTACCAAAATACGAACGACAAAAGCAAAAATCAATAAGTGGAACTACAATGAACCAATATCTTCCAAACAGGAAAGTTTATAGCCAAAATGAAAAGGCAATCTATAGAGGAGGAGAAAATATTTGCAAGCCATATACCTGATAACGGATTAATATCCAAAATATATAAGGAACTCATACAACCGAACAACAAAAAAATTGTAATAATCCAATTACAAAGTAGACAAGAAAAAAAAAAAAACAGACAATTTCCCGAAGAATAAATATAAATGGCCAACAGGTACATGAAAAAGTGTTCAACATCACTAGTCATCAGTGAAACACAAATCAGAAAAACCACCTGCTAGAATGTCTATTATCAAAACGATAAGAAAGTGTTGGCAAGAATGTGCAGAAAAAGTAATCTTTGTGCATTGTTGGTGGGGATATAAATTGGTGTAACCACTTTAGAAAACAATACAGAGGTTCCTC